AACGTCCTGCATTTCCTTTTAATTTCCTGTTTTCATGTCCTCGCGAGGAAAACGACCTGATCCAGTAACACCTGTGACGCACTTTTGGACTTGAACAGCAAAAATGAAAAAAAAGCCCCCTCTTCAGTTTCAGCTGTCAACAAGACACCTCAACATCTCTGCTTGCCCCCCCCCCTCCTTCCACACCTCCTCTCCCTCAGGCCTCTAAAGTGTTATCGGCTGGCCGCAGCGGTGCAGCGGAGCCGAGCGCTCGCACACACAAACTCTTGGCTTTGTCACCTCCCCTCTCGCTTCTGCCAGCACTGTAGTGAAAACATAAACATTTCAAATTTCCAGACAATGTGTGACTAAGACACTCAATGCCACTCAGAAAAAAAATGCAGCCTAGTAAATATTAAAAACAGGCTGTGGGTCCACAGGCGACAGCAGCTCATTAAGGCGCTCATTTAGCGAGAAAATGATCTCATAAACTGAGCTGTTCTGCTGACATCAACCACTGAGGTGTTTGTTGACAGCTGGTGACATTTCAGAATTGGTTTTGAGCAGATGTGGCTGGTATGGGTTTGATTTGAGGTTTGTCTTAAAATGTCTCCACAGCCAAAAGAACTACAAAAAAATACGGGACATTCATCGACTTTTATTCATTATTGCAGCTCCATCCAACTTTCAGCACGACTATGTGACTTTAATATATTCAAATGCAGAATACGCACCCCAGGCATAAACTCAACAAATATGGTGAGTTTTTTCTGCTCCAGGTCCCGAAGACAACCGTAGTACTGAACAATCCGCTCATGACGCAGATTCTTCAGCAGCTGAATCTCACACTCCAGAGCATTCACCTCCTGCAGAGAAGAAGAGACACAGGAGCAAGTGTTTGAATCGAGAAATTCAGACTTGAACTTTAATTTTTAACCCATTACCCCCTTACGCTCTAAAATACAAGCAAAGCGCCACTTCTTCCAGATGTGAGCAGTTCCCTCTCACCTTGCTGGTTTCTTGACAGTCCGGATCAAACGGCACCTGCTTGGCGGCGAGCTCGTGTCCCGCGTCGGCGTCATAGCAGAGGTAGACCTCCCCGAACGCCCCGCGGCCCAGCAGCTTACCTTGTCGCCAGTTGACTGGTGCCCGTGGTGCTGCAGACACAAAACACCACATGATGAAAATCCACCATTCTTTTTCTTGCTAAGCTCTCACAGAGCAGCCAGATCCACTGTGATATACTGATCTGAGCAAACATTAAGTCTAAAGCAGGCGTCCAAATCCACCACAAGACCCCGATTGTAGCTCGCACAGTAACTTCACCGAGACCAGACGTCAAATCCACTGCAGGGGCGTTAAATTATGCCCACCGCAGACCCTCTCTCAGAGGGGGAAACCCCAGATATATGAGTCAAACCACGCTCAGTCGGGAGAAGATGTAAAACCCCAGAAATGATCATCTCAGCAACTCTCATCTTCACAGGCCCAGACTCAGAGACTTTGTCTTGGTATTAACAGGCTCTTTGTGGCCGCCGGGTTAGACGGTTCGGTCGTGTGTGGGTGAGAAGGACACTGAACTGACACGTCGACCGCAGACTGCGGAGCTGAGCTTTCTTTTCACAACAGAGAAAGTTTCTAACCCGTACACTGGAGGAGGACAGATGTGATGAGTGTGTCTGTGACGCAGCTCATTCTGGACGATAAGAGGGGGATTCTATCTGGTACCATGTACAGTGCGTCTGAGCGTTATTTCTGCTTCCTCTAACGGCCGTCGACTAAACAACTAAAACATGTTTGACAGAGTGTTTACTGGAAAATCTTGTTCTGTTTGACCCACTCTGACATAAAACATTAAAAACTCAGACATTAAAATGTTTGACTTGTTTAAATAACACAACTCACCGCACGTTTTCACTGATCAATCTTCCTTATTCCATGTCTGACTGGTTTTGTATTTTGTGGTGCATCTACTTTCCTCCACTTCTTTTATTCTTTATGTCCCTGGGGTGTTTGTGTGTATTAAATTCTCTTCCCGCCCCTTCTCTGTCCCTCTATTTCAAAGGATTACTCTACTCACACTTGGCCGTACCAATCTGGCAGCTCTTGTCAGAGGTGCGGCCCAGCGAGCGCAGGTCGCTGTACTGCAGCGTACTGTCTCCATTATAACTGCGTGTGCGACTGGAGGGAACCAGCTGAAACAGGTTCTCTTGTGGCATGAAGCTCCGGGGAAGCGTCCTGCGACCTGAAAACACACACATACAAAAAGAGGAGACACATTAATGACTTTACAAGCACTGGCCACTGCATCTTTTGTTGTTTCTGTGATTTGTTTTCAGTTTTCTCACAGTTACTTGTTACAGGTGCTGTGCATTTACTGAGCTCTCGGCCAAGACTCAGGGCCAGCTAGAGCGAGAGTGCCTCTCGCCACTCCGTCCCACTTCCCCTCAGACAGGAAGCAGGGCGCTGTGTTTTTATACAAGTTTGGGTTCACCACAGGGAAACGTAAATCATTGCTAGCCAAGGTTAGCCTCTGAGTAAGCAATTACAAGCAGCTGCCTAGAACAGCAAGCCAGCACTTTGTGTACCTCATAAAAAAAAAGTCAAAGGGGTCAACAATATCAAAAAATAATCTGGAAGAAGAATGAAGTAGAATGTGAAGAGGAGGCACTGAGAAGAATAAAATCCTCTACTATGTTTGTGAGGTTAAGAAAATCTGACCAGATGGAGGAATCTGCTGGTGGTGTGTGTTGTCTGTGTTGTCCTGTGTTGAACCATAGTAACAAATCTGTTTAATCTGTGTAACAGTAGTGTTGTTGTTGTTTCTTACGGTCTCCGTAATCCTTGCTGCGATTTGGCAACTGGAACTGGCGAGGGAAAGTCCCCCCTTTCCCGTGGCGACCTGGAGAGGGAGCAGTGAGGCAGAGCTGTCGGTTAGGGAAGCGAGCGAAGACTGAGCAGCTCACATCACAACTGGATTTCCTCAGTTTGCAGTCACAGAACTTCTCAGTTTACAGCCGTGTGTTGTTTTACAGATTCAATAATGCAGGATTGAGACGCATGCACCAACGTTTTGACGAGTGCTATGACAGAAGTTCATATTTTCGTGAACTTATCACATGTGGCAGACACTGCATTGCTTTGGCTCATCTCAGCATGTCAAATCAAAGTCGGGTTCAGAGGCGGCAGGAGGGAAGACCGTTTTTTCACACGCTGAACAGAGCGGTTGTATCGCCTCACTGCAGCCCAGAGAGACACCGAAAACAGCTCATGTGCACGAGCTTAGCCTCAGCTCTCAACCCAGTGGAGCAGTAAGTAAAGGCAGGTGGGGAGCACTGCTGACGTAGGCCAGAGCTGACACTCTCTCCCACACACACACACACACACACACACACACACACACACACACACACACACACACACACACATACACATACACACACACACACTGAATGGAGAGCAGTGGAGCCACTTGCAATTGAAAACAGCTGTTTAGTGAGATGACTGCCTCCCCTCGTGCTGTTTTTGTGGCCGTATCCCATGGAGACGGGAGTTATTTTTTGTGTTTGGCAGTGCGGGGTGGAGAGGAAAAATCTACTCATAGGGAATGGTAAACAAATACTGTAGCCCTCAGCAGTAAGGGCCACACAGCTCTACATCAGGGAGGGGAGAGTGTGTGTGTGGAGGCACGTGCAAGCATGCGTGCCCAAGTGAGTCCTCAAGCCCCGCTGCTTCTGCAGCTACACCAGGCTCCCATACTCCCAGTCGGTGTAGCACTCCCTTTTTTTAATTTACAGCACGAGGAAGAAGAGGAAGAGCAGATTGGGAGAGCTGCTGCAGCTCCACTGTTCACCAGGATTAGTGTGGCGTTATCTGCCATCCTGCTCTATTTGATCTGGGTTCTGAAGGAAAAAAGGGACAAACAGGGACCCCAGGGACGAGGAATAGACCGGTAGGGGGTCATCAAGAGACGAGGGGATGAAGAGAGCGAGAGAGAGAGAGCGAGGGGGGGTTATCATGATAAAAGAGAGGCAACCAGATGAAGAGGAAGGAGAGCAAGGGTGGGAGACACAAAAGACGAAAAAGAAGATGGAAAAGGCGATAAAGAAGAGAAAGAGTGGAAGATAAAGCAGGAAAAGTTATGATACTATTACACTCATCTTATTTCCTCATCAGATGTAAAAAAATACCACCAGTAATACATTATATATCTTCGAGTATCCTTATTTTAAACGTACAATGTGTAACGTTGCCCCTAAGAGTCTCTCAATCAAAACAATAACAAAAGACCTAGTCTGATGACGTTGTGAAGCAGCATGGGATCATGGGAGCTGTTTTCGATTATCCGTTACAATGTACTTGGCACAACTCAGGCACAAATCATGTTCACGGATGAGGTAATGTATTAAAGTCTTATTCACGTTATGCAGCGAAGTCAGTGAATAATTGTACAATGCAATCTCCCCCCAAGACACGGAAACTTATTGAGTGTTTTAATGTTTACTATCACCCTGGTACTTTACTTTTACAGACGCCCAACACTACCAAAAAGAAAAAGAAGAAAACACATGATATGATATGCAGTATAATAGTACTTGTGGTAAGTCAAAATTATGGGAAACTTTATTATGAGATAATGAGTGAAAATTCAGACAGTAAGATTTTAAGTTTGTACTTACACATGATATATTATGTTACATATTTTATCTTTAAGTATACAAACCAACTTCTCCCTCCTCATTAGTAATCTTTCAGTGGAAAAACATTTTACATGATGAGCTACAGGAACAGAGCTTCACTTCTATTTCTGTGGAACTGATTGTTGACTTTCATCACCACAGAATAGAAAAATGCAGAACAGACAAACATTTTCCTGAAAACAATCAAGTTCTTTACACCTCCCTTTATCTTCTCATTGTATTTGAGATGAGAACTAACACAACAGTGAGGATTTAATGTTGAGAAGTGCTGTGGATTTCTCTTTTCTTACCTTTGTATTCGTAGTTGAGGTTTAGGTAATTATTGTCACGGTTGTTCTGTGAGAAAGGAGGGCTGAAATGAAAAGGGAACAAAGGGGGGGGGGGGTTACTGAATTAGATAAAGATAAGCTGAAAGTTGAAAAACTCGCTGCAACAACAATGGGAAAGTGAAAGTGAGGTATGTGGTGCTGTATTGCTGAACCTGCAGCGAAGCTTTAATTTTATGACCGAATGTGTCGATGTACATCTAACCCCCCCACCGCAACTTCCCACTCACCCTGGCTGTCTGTGGTCAGCCCTGCCCCGACGACCCGACCAGAGACTGACGTCTCTGTGGACCACAGGGCGGCGTAGGGCCACGAGACCCTGGATAAGGGGCACGCATGCCCGCTCGCAGGGAAAAGTTCCATGCACTTGTTTCCTGCCATTGTTCTGCAGCCTGGAGCCCAGATAAGCCTCGTGCAGGTAGAGCTGCTTCCGTCCTTCTCTCTCTCTCTCTCTCTCTCTCTCAACCTCGCTCACTTTTCTTTTCCTTTTGATTCATATTCCGTCTTTTCACTCTTCCACTTCACTCTCACTCTTTCACCATTTTTTATTCTGCCTCTATCAAACATCTTCCTGCTCTCTCTTTCACATCTCCCACTCAGTCTCAGCTTCTCTCTCTCTCTCTCCCTCCCTCTCTCTCTCTTTCTCATGATAACGCAGGAATCCAGGCGTCCAGATAAGAGTTTTGTCGCTATGGCAACAGCAAAGTGACCTGATTCCTTTTCCACAAAGGCAGCCAAGGCAGGGTCATGCAGCTCTGCTGGCCTTTAACACCATTTACAAGCTTCACTGAGACCCTCGGGTTGCTTCTGTGTGTGTGTGTGTGTGTGTGTGCAACATACACACTGACCACATTTTTAAAGTGTGAACAGGCACCAAACCAAGTCCAAAATCTCTGCAACTAATGCCAGTATGACTGTGTAATTCAAAAACTATAAAACCACACAAACAAGGATAACAACACACACACACGCTCAATCACACACACACACACACACACACACACACACACACACACACACACACACACGCACGCACGCACGCACACACACACCCGCTGCATGGTGACTCACCTGTCCAGTGCCTGGTCTATTGATTGACAGCTGTTTGACAGTGTATTGTCTGTGCTCCCAAAGGGATCCAGCATCTGACAGATGTAATAACACACAGGGATAAAGTGTCAGAGAGCATGCAATCACATGGGGCAGATTATAAAGCAGTGCAGGTAGATTAGTGTGTTGAACTACTGTGTGATATAACTTTGTGGAAGGACATTAGTCATGTACATCATGGACAGTCATATACACTTTTTTTAGATTCATGGTTTTGGAGGATTACATTTTACCATTTGTTGTGCTGTGACACAGACTGTGATAAAAGATGGAATACGCATCGCCACCTCTACCAAATATCCAGAAATTAAGCTAAAATATGCCACATACTAACGCCGCCATCTTGTGCATTTGGAGTCTGCTCAGTAGGGATTTGGGGATTGCGTCAATCTTTATATACAGTGTGCAATGTGTAATACACTTCAACATATGATAGAAAACAACTCTCAACTTCTCCTTTAAAATGCCTCAATACAGTTTAACAAAGGAGACTCACTCAGGCCAAAAAGTCTGAAAATAAATGACTATCCTCTGTTTTTGCTCTTTGGTGAGTGGCCATGACAAGCACGACTCTCTGGAGATGCCACATTTAAAACTAATGGACAAGTCAGATGTAAATAAAGTCACTGCAGAGCAGAGTGGAGCAGTTTTCCTCCAAATGAGTCGAGCAGACAAAAGAATTCAAAACTCTGTTTTCAGAGGAAAATCAGAAAAGTAATTACTGTGCAGCAGCTGGGGCTGAAGATATAGCACATTTATAGAGACCCCCAGTGTGGGTTGTTAATAAGTTTAAGTTCAGTATACAAGACCATTGATTAAATGAAGATTTAAAAAAGAATTTTATATTAAACCACACCGAGCAGAGAGGAGTGTTTATCCAGAGCTTGGTTTAATATTGAGGCTTTTTCTTTTTTAGGCTCTTACATTCTGGTCCAGGGTCTCGGGGATGAACTCCCCTTCACTGTGGATGCTGGTGTAAGAGCCCTGGCGGGCGATCTGCTGCTGCTCCTCGGGGACGCTGCCCGGTGGCGGGGACGTCCGACCTGTGTGGAGGGAGCCTGGGAAGGTGACAGATTTAAAAGAGAGAGACAGGGAAAGGAAGAACAGGAAGCAGTGAGTTTGAGGAGAAATATAAGGAGAAATGATGAAAAGAGGATGAAGAGATGATGATGATGAGATGAAAACAAAGGGGAAGAGGAGAGAAAATGGCGCCACGCTGTTATTCATGGGTACAAGGATTGCAGTACAAAAGATGACTTACTAAACCACACTGTCGCCACCTCTAACCTCAATTACTTTGACAAACGCTCCCTCGGCTGAGCTGTAACGGAGACTGAGCGCTCGTCCTTGACACAGTAAGAAGACCTGCTGAAAGTCTAACTGTCATCGAGGGCACTGGCAGGGATACGAGGACAGGGCGCTGAGACGTGTAGGAGCAGTCCAAATATCGGAGTAAATAGTATTTTGAATAAAAGCCAAAACTCCCTGTTTCTTCCCAGATTAGTTTTTTCTGCCCGTTCCCCTCCCTCCATCCTCTCCTCCCCTCCTGCTGCTATACGTCATTGAGGTACCCGGGCGCACATCACATCTTCACTCAACCATCCACTGTGACCACTCTCCTGTCACCTTTCATCTGCCACCACGCTCCCTTCTTCCCCGACTCACAGGCTGGCGAGGGGGAAAGTGACAGCGGGCGGGTAACTCTATACAATTTATACGAGTTGCGATGGTGACAGCACTGATGTTAATGGAGCTTTGTGAGAAAGATTGGCGCCGACAGCGATCATAAAGTGTTTTTGGCTGCCAGTGCGAAAATGCAAATGCGACGTAGAAGCCGGTTGTTTCTGCCTATGTCGTGAGGTTGATGTATGACTGAAACATTGACCTTTCTGGGTAGACCTGATACAAGGGGAGCGGAAACATGCAGACCTGGGCGACCAGGGAGAGCTGAGCATCTCACAGAGCGAAATAAACCTTCATGCTGTGTTACCAAACAAGCCAGGAGAGTGCCACTGTTGTCCGGCCGTGAAGCGTAACAAGACAAGAGAAGGACCTTTATCTGTCTTAAAGGAATAGTGTGACATTTTCTTGCAGGAGTTAAATGAGAAGATTGAAACCACTCTCAGATCCGGAGGTTAAACGTGAAGCTGCAAGAACAACAGCTAGTAACATAAACCTACGCTAAAATCCCAACTCGCTATTTTTATTAATCAGTTTTTCTTATTATTAACAATGCGTGATGCTGCTTTCTGACATGACCTCCAGGAATTATCCGGAGGGGCTGTATGGGAGAAATGTCTGTTGCTCCAGACATTTTCTGGAGCTATTCCTAGCCAGCAGTTTCCTCTGTTTACAATCTTTATGCTAAGCTAACTGGTCGCTGCATCTTTATTCTGAAGGGACAGTTATGAGAATAATATCAAAGTTCAAACTAATCGAGGTGGATGATGATGTGATGATGATTCAGGCCGAGAGCTGCTTGGTATGAGAGGAGAAACTTGTCCTTGCTTTGACCCGTCATCTCTCTGTCTGATGAAGTTGTCACTTTCACCTCCAATTTGCATTTTTCTGTTCGGACGAAGCGTGCCCCTCATCCTGCCATTAACATTCCTATGACAATGGCATCACTCTGTGTTGTAAATTGACACCGACAGGCCACCCCTGAGGCTTAATCAGTAGAACAAGGAACCTTGACATCAGCAGGATTCTGCTTTGCTATTTTACTCTGCTGCCTTACTTCTCTTTCCTTGTACCCTGTTTCATACAAAAATGTGGTTTTGTAGAAATTACGTCAAACAGCTCTTCTGATCGGAGTGGATCTCAGTGTGTGTTTCTGCGCAGCGGCTCACCCGTCGAGTGTTTGCGCACCCTCTCCGACCCCTTGAGCAGGGAGCCCTTCAAATCTCCCAGCGACCGTGATGATCTCATCTCACTCTGGTTGTCCCTGCTGTTCACTTGTAGGTACTAGAGAGGAAAACCAGATAGGAAGTAGGAGAAGGTGGAAGAGTGGATAAGAAAAGGAAGCAAGGACATAACATCATTGTCTATTTACATCATGATGTCAGTAGAGGATGTTTGTTTCCTCTAAGTGACCAACTCATAGGTTACACAATTTTAAAAAAAGACAATTACTTCATACAGCTGAGTAAAGTGTGTCGAAAGTGAGTTTCAGCTGTTTCTTTTGGTTGTTATGGAAACCATTCACACAATGACAGAGCTCAAAAACTTGACCTCAACACGCCAGCATGACATCGTATGTTTCAGTTTTAATGCTGCTCAGTAAATGATTCATTCAGTGCATGATTTCAGGGACTCACATGGTTGTTCTTGGGAGTCTTGAGCAGTATTCTGAGCAGCCCGTTGATCCCTGCGCTGAAGCTCAACGACAGCACTGCCTGATCCAGATCTTCCTGGGTCTTCAGGGGCAGCAGCAACTGAAAGGACAAGAAAACATACAGCACATGACCTTTCTTTCCCTATTGTTCCATAGTGACGGCATGCAAATGCATAAGTGCACGCGTGACGTACTGTGGATGTTTGTGTTGTTATCATGCGAAAGTCTCATTTATCTAGCTGCAGTCATTCAGATGGGAAAACTCAACAGGCAAAACAATGTACACACGTGTTGCAATGGAACCTGGATAACGTATTAGCGACTTGTGCAATTCAAGTCAGATTCATAACAGAAGCCAACGATCTCCACTAGTTATTGTTTTACCTCTTTTTCCATGAAGAACATGTCCATCTGCTGGCCAAAGGCCTCTGTCACTTTCTGCAGCAGCTCCTTGATCTTCAGCGGCCTCTGGAAAGGGATGATTCTGCGGGTCAGAGAACAGCAGCGGGTCAGAGGTCGACAGTAGAATATGTCACGTTGAGCTGCTGCTTTCGTAAACACAGACTCAGTGGTTCAGCTCAAGGTGAGTTTGACCAAATGAGCAGCTGACTGGCCCCAAAACATCACAGTTCACTTATTATCAAAAAGCTCAATGCAGCGCAAAATAGACCAGAAGGAAAAAGAAGAGAAGCAAGGTTTCTTCCTTTTTTGTACAGTTTGTGGTTTTCTGCAGCCCATTATCTCTTTCAAATAACTTTAAGTTGAATGAACATCTAAGAAATATCTTTGCACGCCATTTTATGTCAGTGTTTCCATGGTAACAAGAGTAAAAATGGACAGGTCAAGTGGGTCAAGGAGAGGAGTGAGCTGAGCAACCAAGACAAAATGAAAACAGAGCGCAGCAGAGTGAACCCCTCTGATGTATATAAACGTCTTATCAACTTTATGCCTACGTGTACGACTGAGTATACACACTTCGTCTGTCTGTGCGAGTCTGACCTTATCAGCGAGTGTGTGTATATATGGTTTGCGTGTGTGTTTGTAAAACTCTACATGCATGAGTGTGCTTCCCAATCAGTGTGTGCATCGGACACTGTTTCAACACCACTGGGCCTCTCCACTAAGCCGGCACAAAGGCAGATGGGAAACTTCCTGAGAGGAAAGGGGAAAAAATCTGGAGCGGCAGCAAAAGCAGCAGGATGTGTGTCTTTCCCTCCTCTTTCAAAGAGTGACAGAGTGAAAGATACAGAGACGTGGAGATATTTACAGACTGTGAGAGAGAAAATAAAGAGACAGCCTGAGAAAATAAAGGAACGGACAAAGAGAGAGATTCTCTCTGACATTTCTTCTCCTCTTTTTTTTATCTATTTCTCCTCCCTCTCAGCTTTTGAAGAATCTACAGCCCACCATCTCTTTTTAGTATCCTGATAAAGGACTTGTTTTTATCCCATCATTTCCTCATCAGAGGCCAAAGCTCTGCCTATCTTAATGACTGCTCATTGGTTCCCTCATTTGAGGAGAGGATTCTGGGAAGAGGGAGGCCTGCAGATCAGAGGCGAGCAGCGGCACAACTAAACGCTCTGCGTCTCTGTTTATACTCGGCGATGATGTGTCTGATAAAGAGCTGTGGGGGATGTGGAGGAGGAGGGGTATGAGGATGCTGCTCTAAAAGATAGGGCTTTCCTTCCTCCGTGCATGCAGTTGGACTCACACTCAGTCACAGGAAGATTTGCAGAGTAAAATGCTCTTGCACGTCCCAGCACACGCTCCCTTTCTCTCGTGAACACAATCACAATTATATACACACAGAAAAAAAAGAGGTCTGGCTACGTTCCTTCACTCTCTGGCAGGAGACCCCGAGGCAGAGCCAGGGGAAGAGAGAGACACAGCTCGTATTTCCTGCCCCAGACCTTCAGCTCTTGCCAATGAAAAGAGAGGCCGTCCAATTTGATTCCATTGTGAACGGACATCACGGTTATCCTGACTCAGGGACTCCTAATGCCTCGAGTGCTGTGGACGCTGCTTCGATAAAACACGCAAGTCAACGATACTGTAAATGAAGATGGATGACATGATAGCCCCTAAGTGAAGCCAAATCATTTTGCACCCCCCTGGTGCCTGGTCACCACATATTCTACAAACCCCACCTCCTCCATGTTAGCAGATGGGACACAAACTAAAAAGTACATATTAAATAAACTTTTCTCATGTTTTCCGTGATTTTAGGTCACATTGATATACGAATAAGTGTTTCTAGAAAATTTGGTTTTTAATTAGTTATTTGATAATAAATGTGGAGAACTGTCATGATTGACAGCTGAGACTCGATTGGTTGAACATGAGTATCGGTGGGACCTCCACACTAAGATCACTACTGCGCAAACGCATTTTGACTTCGTTTTTGTACAGTGGCATGATGTGAAGACGTGTCCACTACAAGTGACACTTCTCACACTCCCAAAGTGCTTATAGTCCACTGTCAACATAAACATATCATTACAATTTATTATAATAAATAAGTCAGGCTAACATTACAGTGTGATCTGAGTTATTACCAAAATCAAACAAGCCTAAGCCAAGAGAGGAGCAGGGAAGAGAGACAGTGGGAATTCACAGTGAATAAAAAAGTATTATTATTTATGAATGGCGTCTTTCGGAGCGAGCTGTTGTCTGCCAGTTCCAAGAGAGCAGTGCAGTGTGCGGGGAGAGCGTGAGAAGGAGAAGAAGACTGACACAGAGAAACAGAGGGAGGCAGAAATGCAGAGAGACAGGAACATGAAAAACTTGTCTCTTCCTCAGCAGTAGCCAATTAAGGCTGTGAAAAATTGGCGAGGCCCAGTGTGAAGCTGCATTCTGCTGGAGGAGCATGTCGTTTCCTTTCTCGTTCTCACTCTTACGAGCCTGTTGTTTCCCGATCACAGCCTCACTGAACCAATGCCCGTTCCTCTCGTGATGAATCAAATCATTTGTTATAGTTTCTGGTCACTCTCCCTCTGGTGTTTTTCCACTGTAACAGTAAACTCTGCGTTTGTTATTTCTCCCCGCTAAGGATTTGTTTGGAGTTTATTCTTTCTGAGGGGTTTCATGGGGATGATGTCTGCACGTGAACTCTCCCAGGATGCAAACCTTAAACTCAGACGGGGACCAGAACATCATTGAGCATCCATACATGGAACGATGAAGCTAGTATCCTTATGTAGACAAGATTAATCTTAGTACTAAACAAAGTGTCTCCCATTGAAAAGATGTTTTACGCGGGCGCTTGACTTTCAAAGTCCTCCAGCGCGGTAAACAAACTGTAAGGCACCTTAGTGAAAACACAGCTCGTAAGAGTGTCTCCAGACAGAGTTAGCGTAACCATGCTTTGCCTCTAAAGCTGAACAGATGGCTGCTGGGTGAAGGATGTGGAGGACAGCGGGAAAGCAAGAAAACAGACGATGAAGAATTAATTTGGGGTGTGCCTGGAAGACTGGACACTGAACTGAAACACTTGGCACTCCCTCTCGTCTTTCTGCTCACTCCCTCTCTCAGGCCCTCTTCCTCCCTCCCTCCCTCTCAAACGGCCCGTCCGAGTCTGAAACACAAGGCCTCGGCTAAATGTCAGAGCAGGAATTTTCCCTCTCTCTTTATGCTACTCTGGCATGTAACTGTGATTTCCCTTAGACACAAAATCCCAGGCATGGCAAAGCATAACAAAAAGGATCCGAACTGAGGAGTTAAGACTTGGACAGAGGAGGAGAAAAAACAATACGGAGGTTCCAACATACCGTTTTTCTCTCTCATGCTCCAGCTTGACTCTTAAATCCTGTTGAAAGGAAAAATAACAACAGAGGGTAGTTATGGAAGTGGAAAGTTAAAAGTGATTCATGGTTGTATGTGGGATTTGGGCTGCTACAGAAATAAAGGCGATAAGCTAGACAAAGAATTTTAGTGTCAAAAAAGCACCATAATAACACTGTACAAGTTGTTTTGCTGTTGCAGAATTTTTTTCTGCAACACAAAGGCCACATTATCCCTCAACTTGACTCCAAGGATGGCATAACACAGTCTAAGTTTTCTATTTATAATGGCATTACCCAAGGGAGCAGGAATCTGGAGGAGCCTGCAAGTCTGCATGAGGTCATGGTGATAAACCTGCACTGACATCATATCAGTGCAGGATATTGGGTAAAAAAGAAGCGAACTCGCAGAGGACAGCGGCGGAAACGCGCTCTGCTCCTCGCTGTTTGTTTACGTCTCATCATAAACATTGGTGCTTTAAGAGGATTTGGCAATTATCATTCCAGAGAGTGGGAACAAACGAACGAGTAAACGACTTCAGAAAGAGACACAAGGTGATTGAGAGGAATTAAATACTGGCAGCCCTGCAGTTTTTACTGCAAAAAAAAAAACACAAGGGAAAATGATAAGCCGTTCGAAATGTGCCTGTTTATTATTTTCAACAGTTTCTACACGGCTCCACTGTGGGCATTTAAGATGCAATGGACATAAAACATTTCTGCCAACTACAATTTTATGAATGCAAATGTTATTTTTCCAAATACATAAACATATATACATAAAACTACCTGATACCAATGTTTCAAAGTTGACTTTAAAGCATCAATCTTTAAAATTTAAAATACTGTGGATCTGTCAGTACTCTTTTTCAGCATATTAAATCATTCTGAATGATGGTGAATATGTCACTGTCACATTAGTGCCTGTAACATGTTTGAATTAAACCCAGAATAAGCTGCTGTCAGTTGCCATCTCTCCAAAACTACAGCACAACCTTCACTTCACTTTGACATCCAGCAAACTGGCAGCCGGGCAGAAAAAAAATCGAAAGAAAGGCTGAGGTTTTATGTGTAAACCCAGACTGACAGTAAAGGTTATATTAGTTTACAAAGTGCGTGACCAATTTAAAGCATCGTCTGTAAATAAAGATGGACGACATGTCTCCACTTCCTCCCACCATCCAGAAAAGAAGCTAAACTACGCTGAATGCAAACGTCTCGATGTTGAGCATCAGGAAAATTTAGTCCGTCTCCCATCCATTAACATGGGAGGCAGGGTTTATAACTTGTACTGCAGCCAGCCACCGGGGGGTGATCAAGACGCTTTGGCTTCACTTTTTGGGAGTAGTTATGTTGTCAATCTTTATATACAGTCATTTCATGCTTTAAATGAATTGTCAAACACATATCTACACCCCTGTAAGTGTTTACGTTAAACAAAGGTGACAGAGATCTGGTCGTCAAGTGTACCTGTTTGTAGAGTAAGGTTCTGTTCTTGGGCTTGTTGTGCTGGGTGTAGCAGCGGCCCAGGGCTGCCAGGTCCTTCATGATGGAGTTTAACGCCTCTTCATCATCTAAAGACAGAAGACACACAAGATATCGTTGAGCCAAAAGCTGTATGACTACCTATGTTGTTGACTTTAAGAGTAATAGTGTAAAAGTCGGATTTCATCATTGTCAAGTGGATTGTACTGGAAGTGGAGTTGGCAGAGATCAGGCACTGAGGCAACACCTGGTCTGTTGCTTCCTGTCCTGATGCCATGAGCACTTTCCACTAATGGAAGAATCCAGTGATTTATCTTTTACATAACAACAACAATGTTCCCTCTGTGAAAACAGAAGACATGTTTTCTCAGTGCAACATCTGCAGAAGTCAAATCTCTGTCTTTACAGATTGTTATCACAGCGTGAGTGAGGTGAGGAATTCTGGTGTTGCAGATAAATCCACCAAACAATGTGGGTTTCGCTCAAACTCTTCGCACAGAAGCTGAGAGAGCAAAGGTGTTTAATAATGCAGGATGCGTGTCTATGAGCGTGTCGCAGGGGGAAATGTGGTTGAGAGTATGTAGCCTGCAGCTCAGAAATCAAGCACTTCACATTTGCAGAGATTACAGAAACATTCTTCTATAGTTGAAAAGTGGTCTCCTGTAATAAGACAGAGACTGATCTTTTCTTTTGTTTAGCACCCACAAGCTATGAATGAAAACGGAAGTCGGTTTCGACATGAGCAGCAATTTTTGACTTCAATGGAGAAATGTCAAGTGTGTTGAAATCCAGAATTCACTCCTGACAGAGAGAAAAATCGGCAGGTCCGTAACTTTGATTAAAACCTTCCTCGGCATGTGAATGATTTTCCATCTCTCACTTCACACTTTGCGCCACACACACATGCACAAACACAATAACACACACTCTCATGAGTAAAAAGGTAAAGAGAGTAAAAAAATCGTGCAGATGAGCGTGTCAGACATTATCATATGAAGAGAATATAATAGAAGCAATTATCTGAGTGTGGTGATTACAATATAAAGAAGAGGTCTTTGACCTCAGCTCCCGCCTGCCTCTCAGATGAGCTCAGAGTGCATTTATTAAACACACACGCACACACACACACACACTAACCATCACAACTAAATGCCAAATACTTATCCTAACCTTAACTTCAACCTCATTCTAACCCTGACGTCTTAACTCTTCAACAAAACAGGAACAGAAAGCAAAGACCACAAATGTCCTCACTTTCCCAAAATATCATCACTGCGTAAGATCTAGGCTCATAATGATCCTCACAGATAACTGTTCAAGTACACACACACACACAAATGCATGTGTACATGCACACATTTGTGTTCAGGCCAGGTTTGCATGTAACCCAAACAGCACCTGCAGGAAAGACCACATTCTTCTATAGGTAACAAGAATCTGTGTAAGCAAAGGGAATGTCGTTCATATGGGAGTGTGTATGTGGTGAAGGGAGCAGATGGGGTCTGAGATGCCATTTGATCTTGTTGATCTTGCGCTGCTCGGCTCTCGTGGCCAGCTGTTTGCCGACAGTGGGCCAGTTCGTTGGGTTCACCCACGGGTCACTGAGCTCACACATCAATTTACACACTCGATTTCGAAGCACCGCTTTAAATTAATTTTAGTTCCGGATCCATTAGCAGTATTTTCCTCAATCTCAAAACCTGGACCACAGGTACTGGTATTCAATGGGTTTTTATGCGAGGTAACATGAGGTTAGAGTTTTCTATGGCACTAAAAACTACTTGCCTTGACTGAGTGAACGTAAAGCTGCTTTCAATTTAAATTTTCCAGAGGGGCTGAACGTGAGAGCGCAAATGCCCTATTAAGTTGCTCTGGACATTTTCCAGAACTTTTCTTGCCAGCCCCCCAGTAAAATGTCAGAGTGAGCCCATGTGGGAATACAGCAAGAAAATGTGTGGACAATTCACAGCAAACAAGGGGATGTGTTAAAGTTGCTGTTTTTAATACGTGATGGACACAAGAAGGAAAATAACTAATAAAATACAAATATCTCAGGATGAAAAAGAGGAGGCAAACACGTAAATTAATTGTGGATCGGGCTAAAACCTGATCAGTGTAATATATAAATAACACAGATTACAAGTTATCAATCAGAATATGGACAAATACAAAACCAAAACTATCTACAAGACACCACAAAGTTTTTAACTTCTAACAAACGTTTAAATCCAGTTTCACTTGGAAATTTCTCCTGACTTCACCTTTTACAACTTAATGTTTTTGCCTCAAAAACATTTGTCTCTACCAGCTCTCTGGGCGACCACAGACTTTCACTCTGGCCCAGTCAGTGAACATAAACTGAGGTGGAACCACCGGCAGCAGCTGGCCACAGAGGTGCACGTCTTGTTTGAAAAACCCAATATAGCAGCAGTACTGAGATGAGGGATGACGTAACTCTCCTCTCCAGTGACCTGCAAACTCCCTCCCTGTACAGGGAAGCTAAATAAGGCAGAACGATAAGAAAAGTTACACCCACAAAAACTCTGCCCACAGTGCAAATAATTAAAACAGAGCGGGACGATGTTCGAAATGAATGGATATCGGATGGTTTTAAAGCACTAAAGGAACAGGAAATGTAGTATAACCAGAGTAAACGATATATATTTCTGGACATGCTGTATGAATGTGCCTGATTAATAGGTTCCTTAAGGGGTAAAACTTACATTTACTCTTGATACATTACAAATATGTTTCTGTGTACTTCAAAAATCCTCAATTTCTCTCTAGTATTTTTTAAACTCAAATATTTCACTTTGAACTTGATGATCAACCGAGTTAGAAACTGACAAAATCAAAAGAAAACAGTAAAGACTCTGTTGATAAATCTGGAGCATCGTGGTCTGTTGTTGCTAGGATGAGTCGCTTTAAGCTCATGATCTGCAGACCTGCTCTAATGGTTATTAATGTGTTAATGTAATATTTACATACATCTTCTACATGTTTACATTCACTGACTGAGGGCCACAGGCTGTAAAGGGAGTGTTCTCACCGGGGCTGTAAGTAAATGCAATAAAATTAAGGATGGGGTCATTATGCAGCTGTGGTTAGAATTAGCATTATCACGGTATAGTTTTAATTTTTTTTCTTTTTTAAAGGTTGCATCTACATGAATTAATCACTGATTTATTGCCTCGTAAGTTCACTCTTACACTCAGGGAGGTGTGCACCACCTTCCTGCTGTTTTCTTTAATCCCTGCTGTGTGTGCAGAGCTCACTCAGCTCAGTGTTTGAAACTCACAGGAGACAAGAAGGGGCTGGTTATATTTTTGTAAATGAGAATAAATGAGCAGAGGACTTGAATCTAGTGCACAATGTGAAGCCAAACACCCTGATTGTGATGTTCAGACAGGTGATTACAACAAATGACTGATTGACCGAACTCATTGTACAGAGGGTGGCATCGACAACGCCTGCATTGCCTGGCAACATAGCCTTTTGTTGTTGGATGCTACTGTAGCGCTTATTGTCATCTTTGCCTTTACTGTCGCTTTATTCTGCTGTTAATCATTTAAGGAGTGGCAGGCTACTGGATTTATGTGGCTCAATATTACTACATTAAGTTTACGGACACTTGATGTAGTTTCCAGGTATTTGTATTACTTTGTACACACCATTAAAATCTAATATATAAAAACAGAAACAGCAGTCGGTATATTACAATATCGCTAAACAGCATCACACACCACATATCGCAGAATCAACAGTGGAATTCAAATACACCTGCATGTAAACCTGTTTCCCTAAAGATGTTCTTAAGTTTAATAGTTTTATTGTATGTTATCATTATTAGCATATGACAAATTATCCCTCCCCTGTAATGTAATGTGTACTTAAGTACATTTGACAAACTTTGTCATTTTAGTATTTTTAAGATATTTTACTTCCACTTGAGTAGATTTTTCTTTTAAGTAACTTACTACTCTACTTAAGTATAGTTTCCCAGCACTCTCTCCACCCCGTCAGTTTGTTTATAACTACACATGGTTGTTTATAACCACACGATAGCAGAGGTGGGTGACTAACCAGTTTCACCAGGCCGGTCCTCTCCGAGCAGGAAGGAACTGAGTCACTGTCTCTGTTGTGAATGTGGAGCTGGGTTAACCAAGTTATTCCACATCAGGATATTAATGGATTTTTGATTGAATCAGTCAAAAAACAGACACAAGGGTGAAGAGCATTTCTCCACAGTCCCTCTGTGCTGAAGATAATCAACACTCAACTATTGCATTGAAAGTACAAGACAGAGAAAAGTAAGCGAAGATATTTCACAGTCATTTTATCTGTTGATAGATCTGTTAGTCAACGAAATGCCCAAAAATTGAGAGCCCACAATGACATACTTTAATAGCTTCCATAACAAAACATTATAAATAACATGTATAATTTAATAATTATCATATTCTATGTTGATAGAAATTTAAGCTGTGTTTCAATGTTACAATACTAGAACATAAAAGTACTGTATGATACATGTAATAGAGTAAAAATGCAATGTTTTAAGTACTTTATAGTTTTACTTCTATAGACCACTTGCACAAATGTATGCTTTCCACTTTCAACTACTGATTAATCAACTTCATCTGAAGGAATATTAAAGTTTATGCTACTTTTCCTTAAGGCGGATCAATATGTTGGATGATTCTGCACAAAATAATACAACAATCAAACCTGAAGACAACACAGCACGTCCTCCACCTTTATTCCTCAGCATCACTGACTCTGGTACAAGTATTGTTTCTGTTCAGGCCCCACGGGCTCACAGCTCCAGGCTACCAGTGTTCACCCGCAGTCAAGGATACAAAACAAACAGTGGCTGTTCCCTGTGTGTATATATATGGAAGTCAGTAAGTGTATTTGAGGCCTGTGCTGTACCTATGGATAACAGCAGAGAGGGAAGAGTGGGAGGGCAGGCTGGTGAAAGGGGCAGTGAGAGTGTGAGAAATGCGTGGTGCTGCACAGGGCTAGTTGTAATGGCAGCCTAAAAGTGATGTCATTACATCACTTAGGCCTGGTCTGCAGCCGCTGCCAGGCTGAGGCCAGCCAAGCTCACCAGCACAGTGGAAAGCAACCAGCTCACACACCAACCGCACGTAGCTGCCAAGAGCAGCCTCAGAAACCGACGACAGGAACTTAGGGAACCTCAGGTCAGCGGGACCCAGAATGGCTGATATTTTCTCCTGCTACGTGGATCAGATGAGATACCTGCACTTCATTTCCTGTGCTTCTTGTTGCGTCTTGAGTAATATGTGACTAGCATAAGAAAAAGGGGAATTCCAGGAAGCTAAACTGAGCGAGCAACATTTCACAATGGGGGCTGATTGCTTGGGCATTGCATCATCACTCCGCATATTTCTTTTTTTTCTTCAGGCTGAAGCTGAGAACTGTGAAAGTGGCAGTCTGTGAAATGAAGTAGGAACGCCAGTCTAAGACGGTTTACATAAACAAGAGTTATTCTCCTGTAGCTGTAACTACGGCTCAAGCAGATGTTTGCAAGATCTCAGCAACCAGAACAGCTCCTATAAGAGCTTGGATGTAAAGATGCAGGCTCATGCTCCACTCCCGAAAGCGTTCAAAGAATAGCACTGGCTTTATGAGGCAAGTTTTGAAAGCTAACAAAGTGTGTGTAAGGGCCAGTGACTGTGTGTGAGTTTGTGTGTGTGTGGGTGTGATTTTGTGTGTGTGTGTGTGAGGCAGGCTGCCTGAATGAAGACATTGAGGGGATTTCCTGGTGCCGAGAGACACATCATGGCAAAGGCATCCGGCAGGATTAGCAGCTGGAGCCAAACGTGTCCTCACTCTGCAGCAGCAGCAGCATGGGCCGAGCTCCGACACACGACACACACACAAACGCTAAGACACACACTCCCTGACCAAGGGACGATGAACTCTCACACACCTTGATGACTGTCGAAACTGCGATACAGCTTATTTAACACGTAATGTGTGTAATGCTTAAAGCCCTGGAGTTAATCTTTCACTAAGAATAACTCTTGTAACGCAAGGTATTGTGGGTGTGTGAGGTAGTTGTGCAATTAATGTTTGTACAAGGTCTACGCCACAAGTCTTTTCATTGGGGAATGTCTGCCACCATTGAAATGTAATAAGATCTATAAAAGGGCTTTGTGTGTGCTGCTAAATAAAAGGGCAATGGTTGAACATTTTAAGAATTATATATCTTTATCTATAAACTTCAGTGACATTTGAGGCCAGCAGGAAATTAGCTTAGCTGAGCAAAAAGACAGGAGGCAGGGGGAAAGATAGCTAGCCTTGCTCTTTAAGTCCAGAATTCAGTCAATACCGACAAAGTTGCACTCATAGAACCTGTGAAAAAATATATGACTATGTCTACAAAAAAAAAGAAATTTCTATAATTAGAATTTCAATATATAACCTTACCATCAAACAACAAAAAAATAACTTTTACGGCCTACACCATTTCGGAACATGTTCGCACAGTTGTAGTTTCTCTTTGTAAATTTGTAACATGTCTAAGGAAAATGTTGATATTCCCAACAGCCTCATCTGTTCCCACTCTGCCTCTGCATTTCCTGCCTTACATTACTGTCAGCATCTAGAGGCCACAGGGGGTAACAATTTAGCAAGCTAGCAGGCATGTAACATAATGCAGGAAATGTTGATATTCCCAACGGCCTCATCTTTTCCCTCTGTCATCATACCTTTGCATTTCCTGCATTACATTACATGACTGCTAGCTTGCTTAGTTGCTGGCCTCTGTGTATTCTCTAGACAGGAACATATAGCGTCCATGTTGTTGTTGCCTAGCAGTGGTGTTCTCGTGACAACCACTTGAACGTCAAGCACACCATGTGCACGTCTTCCAACATCGTAACCACAAACTCATAAGGTCCGTATGAAAGCAGCACGAGACTTGGCTATTAAGCTATTGACTGACAAGCGAATCATTTTATTCAGTACAACAGCGTTTTAAGCGAAGCTAATTGTGACTAGCACAGACGTTAGAAAGCAATTAAGCAGAATTTACAATAATATCTATTCCATTCCACCATGGTGGTATTTCGCTGAAGAGAATTATGGTTTACCTTGTGAGTTCCTGTGTTGTCCGGGTCCATTTTGGAGACCGTCATCTGGGGGAAAAAGACATTACGGTGGAAAGAAGTCAAAAATACAGTAAATTACCATTTGTGATTGATTTGCTGTGGGAAGAATGGATAAAATACTGACTCAATATTTTTGAGCATGGTTTTCAAAGGTCGTTGGGTTGAAACACAGCTCCTCCAGGTGAGAGTATATACATGTTCCCATGGCCCTACATTCCTAGGGCCCTGTTTTCCCAAGTTAAATAATCTCTAAACAAACATTAAACTCTTAATGTCTTCAGGTCAAATCGGACCCTTTGCAAATAAAATTAAGTAATTTTTCTTACTGGAACAATTACCCTGACGCCTAAATCCTAACCCTAAAGCTGATAGATTCTCTCAAGTGAAGGCCTATCATACCACTTGACATCAGACCAGGTCATTTTATACTGTATATTATATAATACTGCAGAGCTGGGGTACATCTCTTCAGGTTACTGTTATTTACTAGAGAGATGAGGAACATAACTGGGGAACATAGAACCCTTCGTTATGTGGCATATTCTAATGTGGTGCATGGAGCAAAAAAAAGCATATGAGACACTTTTTTTTGCATATTCACTGTGTAGGAGTTCACATATGTTCTCACAGGCTTAGTAGGTGTGAGTATAAACAAACACAGTATGCTGGACTCATACACCTTGAGTGTTGGAGAGAGTATATGTGCATGTACATGTGTGTTTTGGATCAGGAAAAACATTTCCACAAACAACAATGTAAATAAACCAACCAAAACATGGGCCATCTGGAGCTGTTAACAGCCACCTCACACAAATCCTCTATCGTGCCTGTTTTATTTTTCTTCGTACTGTTCCTGCCAGAGGAAGTGTGAGGTGTGTAATCGGACATGTTTTCTTTATGTATGCACTGTACAGCAACTTGCTTTTGAATGCTACTCACCCATGTTTACTGTCATCATCAGGAAGTGGCCCTGTTGAACTCGAGCACAGAGCTCAACTTCTCTCTGCAAGCGAAGATTTCACCCTGGGAGCGAGAAAAAAAACACAAATTGGTTTCAATATCCAAAAACGGTGCCATACTCCTTCAGCTTCATGCACATAATATTTCTACGATTGCACAAAAACAATGACCAAACAGGACGCAGGTGGCAGTTTCAACACAAAGCTTTTTTCCCACATCATCAGAGCCCCTGCTTCTTTTATTTATTTAATCTTTATTTAACCAGGATGGTCTCTTGAGGTCAACATATCCTTTTTTTTAACTCCTGGCAGACAAATAACAACATGACAGCCAAGAACCGCTTTCGACGCTGGTAACTGAATCCATCTAAATCGTGTGAATGCACGATGTCTCGTTTCTGCCACTCAGAGAACAACAGGCCAGCAGTCTCAGTGTTTGATAATGGAGTTGCCTGATGTCCATGAGTTCCCATGGTGCAGCAGTTAAAGACCATGAGCACATCAAAAACTAAGCCAAGGCCTTTATGTATTACACTGGTGAGCACAAACAGAAAAATGGTTGTCACATCCCATAATGGAGGGATATGAAGAGACTTCTACATGTGATGTTTGTTTTTGTTCCACTGATGATTGTACATAAGGAGCAGAAGAGAAAATGCAGCTGTTTCACAGAGAAAAACACTTTCCATGATCCATGATTGTTTACGCAATGAAAATGTTGATTTGCCTAAAAAATGACGGCTGCATCCTGTAGCATGCACATATCTCACAGGTGCACATACGCATACACACACACACATTTACACAAATACACACACAGTTGTTTTTTTAAACGCAGGCTTGGCAAAAGGGGAACAGGAACTAGAGAAATTGTTGCACTACTGCTGCTGTGTTATCAAGTTTTAGAAAACCAGCACCAGCAACAGGTTTCTACAGCTGAGAAATCTGAGTTTCACACACAGATTGCAGTGAACTAAAAACAGCTTTACAAGATTAATACATTTAAGCAGGTGAGATACGACAGCACTAAATGCAAACGTTACACACATGCTAATATACAGCAGGATGCATCCATATGAGGCATGCAAAGCATAAAGAAAAAATATAATGAAGTGACAAATACATCCAAAAAAGAAAAGATTGAAATTAATTAATAGAGAGACAAAAAGTGAGAGAATATAAATGTCTTGACGTTGTGTCTGCCTGTCTATCAACAAGTTCCAACACCACTTCTTTTGAGAAATACTAAAGAGCCTCCAGAGAGTTTAATGGCAACACTCCCCAGACAATTTTCTTAAAACTTTAACATTTATTTTCTGCTCAGTTATCTCCAGTGTCCATGTTGCATGTCTTTGCGTTTCTTATTTTTAATGCCTGTACCACAGTGTGTCTGTAACCCCACAACATTCAGCACAGTCAAGCGCTCCAGCTCGTCTGCAGAGACACAAAGAGTATTCAAGCGAACACAAATAGTTTCTCTTTGTGTTCGCTTGAAAACTCTTCATGAAAAGAATAAAAAAACGGCCACTGGAGCAATTTGTAGCCTGAGGGGCAGGGACACAGGGTCCCAGCAGTGTTTGAACATGGGAACACATATTACACTGCTGTTAGTGGCACAATCACAACAACTGAAGGAGTGGAAAGATAAAATATGGAGCCAGAGAAAAACAGTTTCAAAGTGGTGGCCACTTTCTGAGAAAAAAGGGTAAATCTGTTACACGTTGAGCTGTAACTGTAGGAATACTCACATCAACAAAACTATAGAGAACTACGATGTGCCAAGTACATACAGATCTGTTTTATACAATCAATAGGAGGTAGCACAGTGTGAGAATACCAGAGGGAAGTGGGTATGTCAAAGTAAATCTCTATATCAGGCTGTGCTCGTATGGTGCTGCTGACCACACATGAAAGAGATGAGGAACAGCTACAGGACAGGTGGTCTCCTAACACAGCGTCGCCCGGTCTGTTGACGCCACGCACACACGAGCGCACATGAGCACACGCGGGAACAGAGCAGCTCCTGTCCCGTGCCAGCGAGTCGCCAGATGGCCCATCTGCTTCGCCCCTCTGCCCAGCGTGATACCGGGCGAGTGGTGCCCACTGATCACCGGCCCAATTCTCCACACACGTATTGGCAGGCGGGTGATGTGACAGCCCCGCTTGTTGAGGATCAAATGCTAATCGCCACTCGCTCTTGTTGCTCTGCTGCCACGCGTCCTCCAGGAGGAGACTGTCTGTCTCCCCATTAAATCGTTGGTGGAGTAAATCATAAGATAAACCAACAAGGCTGTGCACATCCAGAAGTGCTTCAGACAGGCTGACGCACTTCACTGTCAAATGTGGATAACATCACCATTCATGGCCAATGTTTCACAGGCAGAGGCCTCTCCCTTTGTCAGTGTGAGGACTGTGCTGAAATGCCAGTGGAAGTTAATTAAAAAGAGGACAGCAGAGGATGAGATTTCAGACGAGGTTTGTGGGGAATTGTTTGAGCCAGACAAAGCAGAGTCCCGCTCCTCAAACCACACACAGCTATTTTATTTTTGTTGGAAGGACTGAACAGGAACAGCAGCCAAGACGATGCAGGCAAGCACGTATATGCATATAAGCTATCCTCTTTCAGCTCTGTTACATCACTTTCTTACCAAGTAAACAGTGTGGCTGAGAGTCTCAGAGAGAACTCCCCCCCTCCTCAGGCTGAAGAAGTGGAGGGCCTACTCTGCAGCTGCCTGGTGGCCTGAGCAGTATGACCTCATGTCTGACATCACTCTTGTGGAGTCCCAAAGAAATCATATCAAAGGTCAACGTCTAAAATTTACAATATGCCTGTTGAGCTCACTGGATTTCCATTCTCCACGACAGCTTGTCAGTAAAACCAGATGAATGCCAAAAAAAGACAATCACATTGAACGTTGGGTGGAGGGGACAAGACAGCTGTGTTTGATCAATGGAGTCAGGCACTGTGGCGATGAAGGCCATGGATCAGAGCACCTTAGTCCCTCACAGGCCACAAGGTTAGAGATTTTCTTTCAGGACAAGCATAGACTGGAAGATGGACGACATATTGTAGGAAGGTTTACTCATTTATCCATTCAAGTTTATGTTAACGGTGGATAAGATGACTATGTGAATGCGAAAAAGGTCACATGTAGTGGACCACAACTGTCGAGGTCGCACCGATACATGGTCAAGCGATCATGACTCAAACCTCTTTGGCTTGACACTCAGGGAGCCACCATGATGTCGATCTTTATCTACTTTCTATGAGAACAACTGCTACGTATGAAAGTTATGGAAGCCAATACACTAGAAAAAGGTGTTTCACTAGTATTCACTGCTTACATGAATATAACTGCTGTATCTGTGTATGATGAAAATGAACAGAAGAAATCTGCAGCATTAATGAGATCACATATAACGCATCAGAGGCCTGACATCACAAAGGGACAGCGAGCTAGACACAATAACCGGTGGCCTGTCTGAATTACAATATGTGCAGGAAGTGAAGGGTGATTAGCGAACCACGAATATGTAGGTGACTTGCTCTTTTTAAAAGGTCAGTGACGGGGGTGTCCTGTCCGTTGAACGCTCGCCAAGACTTCACGTTGGTCCCACATGAGTCAGAAGGGTTACACAGGCTGATTCTGGGAAGTAAGACAATACCTTGTGTCCTGCACACGAACCATGCCGAGAGATTTCAATGCAGGGAGATGCATGAAGATTTGTGGGTGGCGATAAGAGTGTGTGTGGGCGGGAGTACGTCACTCCATGTGGGACTACAGCACTCATTTATAATAACATTGGCTCCCCATGCTTTATATCACAGGAGAAGAGACCCAGGCTCCTCAGTGGGACACAAGGATTAATGATTCCTACAACACATGAAGAGGATTCTTCCCGTCATCCAGTACTAAATCTATGTTTTATTTCAAATAAGGAATTTCTCCTTTTGATATAACGCCATTATTTATACATTTTACATTTTGCTTCTACTGCTCGAGAGTTGCCACTTATTCAAAGAAGTTTGATTTCTTTGTAGCTTTATGTTATTTCTGATTCAGTCACTAAATGTCAATGAGAAATTTCCCATAATATGTTATTTCTTGAAATAACCTGTTTTGTCGATCAAACTGAACAAGAACTGAGCACTGATAGCAGCTCAAAATTGTCTTCAAATTCATTCTTCCCAGATGATGCATCTCATTTAGTGTGTGGATCCCTAAAACGATACCTTTGGGATCAATCGAAACTGAACAAGTCAGGCTGGGTACATACAAAAATATATATTTGGTTTAAAATTGTATATTAGACAGATCATCAAATTTATGGATCTTGAACCAGTCAACTTTTGGTATTTTTGCTGGATAAATGACTTCACTGACTAATTTTTATGAGCGTAAGCACTGGTCTCTTCCAATGAAATTCCAAGGAGACAGACGTAGTAAGCGGAGAGAGTAGTTGGTCTAATCAGGACCGAAAGGGGCATGTGAAGAGTGGAGCTGGATGTTAACTCAATCGACTGGTACCCATAAAACTCCAGTGTAAGAGGATCCTCCTCAGAGAAAGTGATAGCTCTATTAGCTCAGAGATAAATCGAAAAGATCTCTGCCATTATCATCAAGCACACAACACCCGCTAAAAATAGCCAAATGAAGGAGTGACTCTCCTGACGTCCACGATACATCCACTCCTTGGATCACCAGGACTGTATTCTCCCCTCGAGAGGAATCTCAGCAAAATCTGTGGAGTAAGCTGTCTTTTCCATTATGCGGTGACACGCCATTACAAGCACATTCATTCATTGTGTTCCTCCACCCAAATGCAGCCATGCGGAGACAGCTCATAGACTTCGACCAATTTCACGAGGCAGAATGTCAAACAGCTGTGGTTCAGGAAGAGGCAAGAAAGTATTTGTGCTTCACCACCGAGCCGTTTATCCACCGAGAGTCTCTGCTCTCCAAGGCTGAGCGAGCATGATAATGAAATATCTTGAAGTTATTTTATGACTTGATGCCAAAAGTCAAACCTATCAATTTCATTCTCAACTACACAGGCATAGATATTTCATTCACATATTCATATTTGAGGACATGTGCTCAGGGAGACATTGAAAACAAAGATGTCTGACCGGTTGTGGTATTTTATGTACACAAACTTGTCCTCAGTGTTATTGTATGACCTAGTCTGTCTGCAGTGTGTTGTCTATCCGGCTGTCCTTGCAGCCTCTGGCTCTGCTGCCGTTGCTGCTGCTGCTGCTGGAGGCATTGTCCTCACAGTCAGACAAGCCGTGCAGACAAAGCTCAATCAGGGCAACTTCCGTCTGGTTTCTGGAGAGGAGGAGGAAGGGGGGGGTGGGTTGGACCTGACTGGACACATAAAGAACAGCCACTCATAGACGAATCAGGCTCCTTTCACTTACTCATATGTTCTTCTGTAGGCTTAATTTTACTTAACGAAAGTTGTATTTTCTACTTTATGACAAAACTGAAAAACAAAAAGCTGATTTTTTTATTCCCGGTCATTAATTCAGCACCACACAGAAGCAACATCGTCAGCGGTTAAGTGCTTTGCGTCATCTTGGGTGTGCCACTGCCATCTTGGCACACCTGTGTTTGCGCACTGCCAAACTTAATTCCCTGCACATGAGCTCAAGCTCTGTCACACTGTTGAGGAAGTATTGGGTTTGACTGGGCCACTCAAACACAATCAGAGAGGCATCTTCAAGCCACTGCAGCAATTTCTATGACTGAGAGGTGGATCCCCGTCCAACTCTGAAGTTGCGTATCAGTCTTTTGTTTGTTTTTCTCTGATTCCTGACCTGTCTGCATGTTGCTGCAACCACCTTGCTTTGCTATAGATTTGGTGTAATCGCGGTGGCCTCAGTCAAATAAAGTGTTTGGGAATTTAGCCAATGAGAATAGTTTTCCTATGCTCAGAGGGATCTGTGTGATCTGGCAATGTTTGAGGGGCTTTGTCAAGTCTTTAACCAAAGTCTCTCGAGCCAATCCTACAGGCCCGCTTGTTGGATGGAGTGCTGATATTTGTCTTTTCACTGGTTCTTCCATCACTGTAGAGCTCCTCTGAAACTCTGTTACGATGGATACCTCACTTTTGCTTCCCACCAGCTCTTCCCTGCCCAGTTTGGTCAGACAGGCGGCTTTAAGAACAGTCAGGGGGGTCGTTCCCAATTATCTTCCATTATTGTGTGGATCCCACTGCGCTCCTGCAAACTGTAGCAAACTACAGCCCATAAAAGCTTTTGTCCCGGGCTCTGGCTATCACCACACCTCAACACAACAGCATTGCAGAGGACTAAAGAAGATTACTTGTAATACTTTGATTTTGACAAGAGTGGGACTTTATTTATTACATCCGGCAAAATAAATTCGACCCAGGAAGGCTGGAGGAAATGACGGTGGTCTAAGAGCAATATTGTATTATCTTTGATCATTAATACATTTTTAAAACATGTTTGTCCCAATGATAGCTTGGATTGGCTCCAGTTCCCCTGCAACCCTCAAAGTATAAGTGTTAATGGATGGATCAATGGGTGGAAGTTTGTTTTATCATTGTAGAAAATAATGTCTACAGTGATGGACAAAGCTGCTTAATTAAGAGGGGTACTTTAGCAATCGAGTCTTTCTTTTGATCAAAATCAAAAGCAGCAGAGAGTTAGATACAGTACAGATACAAGTACACTAAAACTTAAATTCCCCACAGCACCCAAAATGCAATCAATAGTATCTCTGTCAGCATTTAAAAATACTGTCATGCTGCTTAAGAAAGTGTGACCCTTCTCACACTTAAAGACAGATTTATTTTGTTTTCACTGTAACCAAGCAACATCTAAAACATGGCTTTGAGGAAAGATAATGAGTCTGTCTATGAGTCACAGTGACCTTTAACCCCCAGCCCTGTCAGTGGGCGTCTGGCAATTGGTCAGGCTTCTGTGAAGTCAGCAAAGATAGCATCACACTTCACACTCCTCGCTGAGAATGCAGCGTGAGGGAGAAGAGGGTCGCGTTCTTTCTGATGAGGACACTCGAGAGGGCTAACGGCGTAAAGTCAACAGCGGGATGTTTAAGGAGAGTTAATGTATGATTATGACTCGCATGAGCAAACTCTACGGCACATGAATCGCTGTCAAACGGCCTTTTCAAGAAATGTCAACACAGGCTGTGAATCAGTTCAGTCCAAAACCTTTGTTATCAAACAGCATAGACCTCGCACTTAGGTGACCTATCAAACAGAAACTCATGCAAGAAACCTTTTTTTTATTAGTCCCATTAAAACACAATTAGTAAGCCATTGCTTCTGTCTCTGGCTGCCATTTCTACAGTGGGATCCAGTCCCGTTATCAGTCAAATGGACTGTTTTGCTTGCGGCAAACCAACCGTATCTGTGGGCGGTTTCCACTTGACAGTTTGATTCTCACTTTAGGGCTATTTCAGAGTCCCCGGGGCCGTGCCAACGTGCTGATAAACTCATCCGTCAGTCGGCTGCTCAGACTCCTGCGAGTGCCGTTCATATTGATTCGAATTGATGAACAGGATGGTCTCATTAAAATCTAATTTGGCGGCACGGTCTCAGAGGTGTGCCATCACGGTGGAATATGTGCTGAGCGACTGATGAAGCTCACAAACATCCTCATCACTTCTACACCATGAAGGCCGTAAACGTGGACTCGGATGGAGACGGACAGGGAGCAGAAAAAACAACGAGAGGGACTTTTCAGGACACAAGCTGATGGGGATCGTTCCGTTCTAGGGAGAACGCTGCTTTAGGTGACCACAGTGAATCACAGACGTCTGGAGGACTGACAGCAGAGAGAGAGAAAACAGCACAGGGAGGATGAATGAGTCCACAGGAGCAGGATGACAGTGACTTTCCAGAAATCAATCCTCACACCTCCAGATGAGCAATTTAAACCATTTCCCACTGAAAGGAGACTTTTGCAGTGGAAATAGTTTAACTTGACTTGATTTTTTTTTTCTTCACTTGAGATACTTCACGTCTGTAATCCTGCTACAAAATATATCTTCTGTTTATTCTGTTTGTCTATATTATTTCTATTTCCCATGTATTTATCACTTTCACAAATGTCCTCTGTACGCTTTGCTGGCGTAACATGGTAAACAGCCCTGATGAGGGACTAATCTCATCTTATATTATCTTATCGTATCGTAACCACTTAGGACCCCTTTGCAAACCTTTATTCTAGCAACAAAATAAAGATCTATAAAGAGAATCTCTGTATCTCCTGAAGACTAAAACAGGCGGTTATGTGTGTATAGGTCTATTATGAGTCCATTTTTTGTTATGAAGAAAATCTATTTGGACCAACTTTTCACTTGTAAGAACTCTTCTCCAGTCAGAGTATACACACAACAACAAAACAACAATTTAAACTACATATTAGTGAAGCAATAATAGATGCACGTGCACTTTAATGTCCTGGAATTTCAATCAGGAAATAGAGTTGGCACTAAACAAATGAAGAAATAAAAAACAGACATGTTTTGTTTTTTTTTACCTTGTTATCTGTGTGACTCCATGTTGTTGTGGCTGCAATGTTTGTTTGTCACAGAGGAAACAGGCAGAAAGAGGAAAAAAATCCCAGCAGATGCAGAGCAAGAAGAAAAAAAAAAAAATCTTCCCCAAACAACACTGTGCTGGTTTATCCGGAAACTGAAGCGCAGGATTTACAAACACAACCTGACATCAAGGGATCAAAGCGTCTCCTCCATGAGGTGCAATTAATCCACAGCTGCGTGTTTATTTCTCGGGAGAACAAACTGCGAACGGTGGATGTGTCTGAGAGGAAAGTTTCTTCTTCTTCCTCTTCCTCCTCTCGCTGCCTCGTCTCCTCTCACACTGACACAGGAGCTGGTTCTGCTGCTCTGATGTCAGCGGCAACGTGAGATCCAGGAAGTAGTGACGCGTTACCAAGGCAGCGGCGTCCACACCGGAGCGTGCACCGCCCCCGCGTGGACACATGGGGCAAGTGCAACAACGTGAGCTCGTTTATTCAAGCTGGATTGAGAAAGATGATGAATAATAACAATAATAATAATTCTAATAATCCATTTATATATTCCTGTATGACCAACAGATTTTTGGAAAAGTTTTAGAAAAGTAATCAATAAGAAAATTTGCCTTTTTGGTTTTTTTATTTTTTAGAAACATTCATACAGTGGCTGAGAGAACTCAACACACTGCAAATTGATGCAAATAGAAAAAACGTGCAAATTAAGAAAACAACTTCCTCAATTTGAGGACACATGCAAATATAGAAACCTGCAGAAAAAAGTCACAGAATGGTTCCATGAAGAGCTAAAAGTAAAAGCATTTCCCTGAGAAAACATTACAAATGTTTATTCTGCTTAAAGCCTGAATGTGTTGAGTGCAGAGACAGTATCAGCGCTGACAGACATTGTATTATCACCTTTTGAAACTCCCTCAGCTGTTGTAAGTCACGAGTTCTGCTTGAACACATTTATTTTGCATTTTGTGTCCAGCTGCTGTATGTGCAGACAGAGTCAAATAAGTCAGAGAAGGGAAAATTGTAAATATTGTGCATTAATAACAGTCTCAGATGATCCTGACTCCTCTTCTCAGTGTATCAGACCCGACTGTCAGCATAACAAAAGCTCTGCTGACCTTGGTCCCAGCATGCTTCTCTGCAAAAGACTCCACACTGCTCTGTTTTACTGTGATCACACATGCCCTTGCTCTGTGTAAGACGTATTGAGTGCAATGAATATCAATTGGACATTTGCATCCCTCTGTGGATTCGCAGAGCTTGTAGATGTCTGTATTGCTGAACTGGATACGAGCATCACAGGCAACCTGTGTGTGTGTGTTTGCGTGTGTGTGTGTGTCTTGTGGTTATTGCAGCATCATCTCAGTGAATGTTTCAGAGAGATTTGGGTTCTCCAGAGAAGAGCAGGATGTCTCTGCTGTCAAACCAATCAAACTACTCTTTCACGATGATATTCGTCCAAATGTCAGAAAATAAAAACTTCACATCAACAACAAAGGCACCGATCAGAGTTCTCCATCCATTCCTTCCATTATTATCTGTATCCTTCGTATCCTTTGAGGAACGAGGGGGAGCTGGAGTGGATCCTGATCCACATTGGGCGAGAGGTGGGGTCTACCCAGGTCACCAGCATATCTCTGAGTCAACATACTCACATTCCAAACTACGGACCATGTCTTTGGACTGTGGGAGGAAGTACCCAGAGAAAACCCAGGTGAGCACAGGGAAAGACACCAGCCAAGCTCAAAACCCCACCAGACTTCAGTACACAGAAATTTTAATTAGATTTTGAAGCATGTTGCGTCATTATATTGGTATATTTCCAAAGTAAACTTTGGTCATTTTAATTCCTTAAAGCCCCTCTGGTGAAAGTCAAGTTAAACATGTCCCCATTGTGCCTTTTATATGATTAAAGACACATTTTGATTAAAATAAGATGAGAATTTCCATCTAATCTCTGCAGTGAACAAATGCCAGGATTTCTTAGGTCTGTGATGTCAGGCAGGTGCTGGTTTGTTGCACGTCCATCCTGAGGGCCTGTTCTACATCACATGCCTCTGTATCATCTTTGCCCAAAGGAGCTTTTAAAAAAAATCAACACATTGAACTGTGGTATTGACTTGTTGGAAATCGATGAGGTAGTCAGGTGAGCTGAAAATCCCGGGGGATTGATTCTGTTTTAACGGTAAATGATGGATTTCCTGTTCAGAGAACTGCAGGCAAAGATGGGATTCTCCACTGGGAGAAGAGGGGCCATCGCTCAGGGTCGTCCTCTCCACTGCCAGTCAGCTGATGACAGAGGCAGAGGGGGTTTTGCTAACAGTTACAGAAACAGCTGCTCAGTTCTTGGAAAAAATACAAGGCTCATTTGATAAAAACCCTCATGCAGCATCAGTGATTAAATACACTTCATCTCCTGTAGCTTCCTGCTCTGAAAACTGTCTCTAGGGCACATCACATGGCGGCCATGTGGACCAGGACTGAAATAGGAGCTGGTAATGACTTTGATTTCTAGATCGCAGTGGAAGACAACTAGAAATCAAGATCTGAAACATCACTTAATGAAATATATTTTATGGTTATTTAAATATATCGACTATGCAAAGAAAACGTCATTAGTCATCTATAATGTATTGAGTTGATTATTTCCTTATTATTTATTCTTATTTAGCACTTTCTCAATATAACCATACCTGTATATGTGAGTCTGACCGATAAGGATAAGGATTTTTGGAGGCCACTGGCAAAACTGATTCGGAAACCTACATATCGGCCAAAATATTTATATATATGCAGATGCTGTTATTAAACTCATATGACAAAGACATTTAATTGAGGTTTGAGATCTTAGTTTAACCATAAACTTTATTATAAATAAGTAAAAATTGTAAGAAAACACAAATATGAAATACTTGATATAACTTATAATATATATATATATATATATATATATAGAGAGAGAGAGATATAAGATATAAAGATTCAAGAATAAAGAAACATTTTTTAACATAAAATAAATACACATCTTTTCTGTTTTGTTTATTCTATAAGATTTCTAATATCAAGTCAATCTTTCCGTAATGCGTAAAGATTTTAGTCCCTGCAGTTCAGTCAAGCTCTTGTCATGTACACAGACTGTATATAAGGACTACTGTATATCAAGTCTCTGCATATATTTGAATTCTGCCTATATATTCCTAACGTTAATAGAACACTAACAAGTTCATCATCAACGTATAATCAAGCGATGGAGACTTGACTATTTTATTTATTTACTCTATAAATAAATTGATATAAAAAGAACAGGTTCTACAGCAGGTGGTGATTATGTGACAGGAACATCTAGTTTGACCTGAATGCTTCATCAAATGACCCTGTTCCCTGGAGCTGCAGCGTGAGGGGGGTCTTCACCAGAGGAGACTGGATCAGCACCGTGGCTCTGAACTCTCTGTCCTCACTACAACAGACAATAAAGAGAAGACATCTTGTATTCTGGAATGATCACTGTGTAAACATTGTAATGTAATAGTGTGTTGTTTGTTACCTGGGAGTGAAGCTGATCTGGAGACAGTGGCTGCAGCTGCTGACATGTTGTTCCCTGGACCTGAGAAGCCCGACGTCTGGTGTCACTCTGAACACACATGAGTCGTCCTCATCTGACTCTACACACAGACACACACATTCAGTGGAACTCACTGCATCATTGATCACATGTAGGTTATATCAAATAGGTTAAACGGTCAGAATGTTTGTGTTACATCATCGGCAAATGTTTAAAGTTAAAACTCTCTTATTATTACCTCCATTAAGAAGTTTATGTTTTCACCTCTGTCCATGAGTTTGTTAGTTGGTTTGTCAGCAAGATTACACAAAAATAACTAAATTTAAAAAATCATGCCCATTTAGGGAACTGATACCCATCACATAGATTTCATAAAAAAGTGAATCTTGCAGCCATTATTTGGGTGTCTCTGTCTTTTGTTCAATATCATCTAATTGATAGCTAGGCCTTATTTGGGCTGTGGCTATACACTGGGTCCTGGAGGGTTGACACTTGAGACCCCCTGACTGCCTCTACACGAAGCCAATGGAAACGCAATGTTCGGTGCTTACCTATAACTGATTTCCAGTATGTGTGAGCTCCACAACTGTAGAGTTTTATTTCCCTTGTCTGCATCTGGCCCACAGAGCAGAACCCAAAGTTGATGCTCTGGGTGGACAGACGCAGAGTAGAAAGATCCAGAAACGCACAGAGAGGGACAGTCTGATCAGAGCAGAGAGAAAACATTATGTAATTATCTACAAATAAATACACAGTATTATTTTATTTAAACTTCATACGTTAATTCCCACTGTCGAGAATCTTT